CCCGCGGGTCTGACGGCTGCGCCTCGGGAGGGGCCGCGCGACGCGACCCGGCGGCGCGGGAGAACTTTGGGGCCTTCACTCCCCTGTCGGCCGGCGGCCGGCAAGTCGCCGCTCCCCTCCCCCTCTGGCCTTTATTTCCTTTTCGTGTTCCTTCCTTCCTCCCTTTCTTTTCCCCGGCGGCGGCTGCGCCCGACTGAGACAGAAACTAGCCTCCGACGCCCAAACTAAAGTTGAGAGAAGCGCCCGCCCGAGCCGCACGCCGGCTCCGCCCCCTCGCTGCTCTTCCTTCCTATGCGCGCCCGCCCGCACCGGATCCGCCGCGGCCAACTTTCCCGGCGAGTTCCTGCATTCCTGCCGCCGCGCGCCAGCCCGCCCGCGCACGTGACCGCCGGCCTGGCGGCTCTCGGGAGAGAGGCCGGGAGGCTTGCTGCTCGCCTGACCCGCGGATCCGCTGAGGCCGGGGAGTTGTCCAAGGGGTCGCGGAAAGCTTCGTCTCGGCCCCCCAGCCTCAGCTCAACAGCACCCCCGGAGTGGGCCGAGGCAGCACTAGTAACAAGCACTTGATTTAATTAGAGTCCGATGTTTAAACTTCGGGATGATTTGCCCCCACTTCTTAATATACCAAAAAAAAAAAAAAAACCCACTGTGAAAAGATGAACAGTAGTGTGAAGTTTGGATGTTTGGAGACTAGATCGGTAACTGCATGTAATTGACTAGAAAATAAAATTGCCCCTTTCTTAAGTGAAAACTTTGCACTCAAACTCCAAGAGTATCCTGGAAAATCTTAACCCTAAAAGTAAATAGCAATAAAAATCTGTGCTTGCCTTAGGGTTCCAAGCATTTGTCTGGATACCTGCCTTGCACCCTTGAGAGGGCAGGAACCGCCCCTCTTTGTTATCCCTGGTCTTATCCCTTGTGGACAGCAAGGTAAACTCTGGCTGGAGTGATTTGAGGCCATCCCAGACATCTGGTTCCCTACCTGGCAGTGTCAGGCATACAAGGAGTCCATCTGAAATCACTCAAAAACAGTTTTAATTCATACGCTCATTTTTTTTAAGGCAGCCTTATTGAGGTACAATTCACATACCATAACTCATCACATATCCTCCTTTTAAGAAATTTGGTGTTTTTATTCACAGAGTTGTGCAGCACTGTTGATTTTAAATCCACTAGTCCATTCTAAAGAAATCTGACTACTGTTTTAATCATTTTGCCTGCTATGCTAGCAAAACAGATGTGTAAATAGGATTAAGCAAGAAAAGTTCCCCTGAGCAAAAAGATTATCTCCTCTAGCCAGGACTTGCCCTGGAGAATTCTGAAAAGGGAACTCTACCATAGTTTGTGTGGTAGATGCTAATCAACTGCTCTGGACCCCAACACCCGCTGAAGAAAGGAATTCTCCTCAGTGATGCTCTCCTGGATTATCCCCACCCAATCGCCAAAGGTCAAGTATGCTTAATCATGAACCTGCAGGCTCTGGAATTAGACTTGAATTCAGACCCCAGTTCCACCTCACTAGCTGTGAGACTTTGGACAAGTTACTTATTTACTGTTCTTTAATTTCTTTAATATTGAGGCTAGAGGTAGTAACACCTACTTCATAAATCACGTGCATAAAGTCAGTCAGCATACATAAGTAAACATTTAAGTCCAATGCTGTGTACGTAGTGAGTCAGTGTCGCTGGTAGTGTCACCACTGTCCCAGATCACAGGTAACATGGCTTCTCCTTTACAGCAACCCACTCAGGCTCCCTATGGACAGTCCTTTCCTCTCATATCCAATAATCAGTCTACACAAACAAAACCTTTGGGCAGGAACTATGCACTCATAATGTCACCTTAAAAAAAAAATGTAAAGAATCAAACTGATTGAAAACCTGGGATTATAATGGAATCTGTTGCTTTACTAGACCATTTACTGGGCACTATAATTAAAGGGCTTAGGGTACAGCAGAGGTTGCTTTGTTCAATATTGTTTCACCTGCCATTAAATTGAGAACAAAATTACTTTGATTAGAGGATTGAAACACTGGAGTGATTTGAAGTTCTGTAAGCACCTCTGTATGATTAGTGAAGATTTTGGAATTTACTGTTCCTCAAAAATAAAAATCGAAATCACAGGTTACTAAGAGATAAAGATAGCCTGTATTCAATCCTTTGTCCCCTCTCTTCCTCTCTAGCTCCCCTTTAAGACCAATTACCGGTTTAGGGCAATTTGAGATGGTAGTTTGTCTTCTTATAGAAGCCCACCATCAGTTTCTCTGCATCATTTTCAGTATAGCTGAAGATCACTGTCTGCTACTTCACCTCTCAATTATAATAACCCTCATCTCCACTCTACTGTTTTAGCCACCTGTTCCTATGTCCATACCTTGTCATCACTGAAATATTACCACTGGAAAAATGTATTTTTTTTTCTTGATAGTGTTTGGGTCTCTGGTTCTGTCCATCACACCTGACTTACCATACCTGATTTCTATTAACCCAATTAACTATCAACTCCTCTCTTTGCTATCAACGTATCACTCCCTCCTGCCTTTGCTCCTTTTCTAATTCCATTTCAACATTATAACACATTGTTTCAACCTCTTATAATCATCTATGCCCTCTGTCCTTTTGCTCTGTGCATTTCAGTGTACTACATTAAACTGGATTAATCCAGTCATCTGTTTTGTTCCATTCCAGCACCTAAACTTATGGGGTGCTGACCCTCACTCATTAAAAGCTTCCATCAAAACTTTTTGATATTTTGAGGGTTTTAATGGTTACATACTATCATCCTAGAGATGATAAAATGGCATATACTGTAGAACTTTAAACTTTGCCCAGTTAACAAATTACATTCTTTAATGCATTATGAATTGACATTTTAAGTAAATGCTGGTATTTTCTAGTGAGTAGCATAATTATTTTGCCTTGTAGGCATTGTGTGTTAGCAGCCTTCACTGGCTAAGTGAAACATTTGAAACAGTCTGGTTTAATAAGCTCTATTGGCAGCCCACTGCTTAATGATATCGAGGCTGCAAACAAGATGTGTCCAGCCCTCCTTCCGCCTCTGGAAAGCAAGGCTGACACCCAGGTTCCTGGGGACAACTGGAAAGAACCTCACAGATGTCAGCAGCAGCGCCTCTCTATTCCTGCAGTCTCAGGCACAGTTCTTGAGCTAGTGATCAACTTCTTACGTACTTGATACAACTGTTCTGAACCTTACCACTCTTGCCTCCTGTCCTTCAAAAATTCACATCGACTCCAACTGCTCAGAGAAATGGAGGCCACCATGCCCAAAAGCTCCCAAAGCACCCCCTGAACTTCCCAGAAGCAAGTATACATCTTCACAAGCCCTTCCTTACACATTCTTGGTACATTATTGGAAAGCCCCAAACCTTTCCTCTTCTTCCTTGCTTTTCCTTCTTTTACCCTTTGGCTCAGACATCCACAACTGAACTCTCGACCCCTACCTTCTCCACTTCCAACCACATACATACCCTCCCAAGCCACATCCTCCTCTGATTCACCCTGTAGGTTCATGGCTCCTGGTCTACCTTTGTTTCAGCGTCCTCATACTCAGCCTCTCACACCCCGACACCCCACCAGTAAACAATGTGTGTTCCTAGTTGTTTGGATCTCCACAAGTCAGCTGCTGACTCCCTGTGCACTGCTATTTCATTTCCCACTGCTTTGTGCAGAGCTTCTAATATCATGTCCTTGCTTTTGGTTTGTTTGTTTGTTTGTGGCTCCATCAGACTTCTTTTCTGATGGCAGAGGATCCACTGGCAAGTTCCATTCTGCTATGGTAGCAGACCTCAGTGTGGAACGGCAGGCCCTTGCTGTTCTAGTCCGTGCTTCCTTCCTTAATGCCTCTCTGTAACTCGCTCCTATGGCTTCTGTTTTGCAGGAACACTGAACAGCCTGTGATTCCTGAGTAAGCTCTTTCCCCACACCCTTTGATATGTGCAGGCTATATGTTTGCTCACAACTCTGGGCCTTGAGTTTTCACTTGGTTTCCCTGGAGCAGATGAGAACCTCTTCACCAAACCCCTGCTTGGTTCCAGTCCTAGGACTTCTCTGGGCTCTCATGGAATTCGACTCCCACCTCCAATGGGGCCTTTATTATAGTTCACTCTGATGGTTTGTGTATCTGGATGCTTCATAGCATTGTCTCCCATATTTCCATCCAGCAATGTTCAGATAGTAGATGCTTAAAAACACATAGAAGAAAAAAGAGGGAAAGGTAAGCACCTAACCCAGCGCCCAGAAGAAGACATGGATCTGGAGCTCAAGCTATGATGCCGTCACAATACAAATAATTCTGTGTCACATATCACATAGCTCTTACATGTCATGTTATTTAATAAATACTGATGAATTTTCCCAGGCAGATTAAATAACTTGCTCAAAGCTGTGCTGCTAAATGCTAGAGCTGAATTCGAGTCCACATTTCTGATTCCAGGGTGTAACCTTCCCACAGGAATGTCATGTTTGAATTTCAGACAGCTCAAAAGGACCACTGACAAATAAATACACAAGTAGAAGAAACGGGGGTGTCAGAATCCTGTCATTTAAAAAATATCTCACTTATTTCTACTGACCAGTCAGTGCTAATTTAGGACTAAGAGGTCTTAATGCTCAATGATAATAAT